GCTATGTGATGGGCCTTCATTAGACTATTTTCATTTTTGCAAACGTTTGAAATTTTTCATAAAAAAATTTAAAAATAGGCTGAACAAAGAACAAAAGAGATGGCTTATTTGAAATGTCACTGTGGCTGAGACAGTTAGTTGTCCCACAATATCTGTTCTTCCTTATAAACAGAATTTTAGCTGGGCATGTGACCAAGTTCTGGCCAATAAAATGTAAGTGAAAGTTCTGAGACCTTTGAGGAAGCACTCTTAAACGGAGAAAGCACAACTTCCTACTCTCTGTTCCTCCTTGCTGGCTGGAGCATAGTCATAATGGATGGAGACTGAGCAGCCACCTTGGACCCTGAGGTGGAATTCATGTGCTAAAGATGGCAGGAAAGCAAGATGGGAGCAGACCACACCCCTGACCATTGTGTGAAAATGTCACACTAGCCTTGGACTGCCAATCTCTGGGCTTCTTATACATGGAGAGAAATAAACTTCTATCTTTTAAAAGCCCGTATGTACAGTAGTTCACCCTTATCTGCAGTTACGCTTTCCGTGGTTTCAGTTACCCACAGTCAACCGAGCTCCAAAAACAATGCTATGTCACAATGCCTACATCGTTCATCGCACTTCATCTCATCATGCAGGCATCGTATCATCTCACATCAGCACGAGAAGGGTGAGTACAAGACAATAAGATTTTGAAAGAGAGACCACATTCACATAACTCTTATTACAGTACATTGTTATAATTGTTCTATTTTACTACTAGTTATTGTTTATCTCTTACTGTGCCTAATTTATAAATTAAACTTTATCACAAGTATGTATGCATAGGGAAAAACATAGTATATAGAGGGCTTGGTACTATCCACAGTTTCAGGCATCCACGGGGGTCTTGGAACACATCCCCCACGGATAAGGGGGGACTATGGTGTTACTCTGGATTTCTTTGCAGTCAAATCTAATCCTAACTGATATAGTCAGGAAAACATTTCTTTCAAAATATTCCTGTTAGACAAAGTGAGTCTGGTACACAAGCCCAATTTTGGGTGGTGATGATTAAATGAGAGAACTGCAGGTATTCCAAAGTTTTCCCCCAGGGCTGTCGGTGTAAGAAGGCTTTTATTGTTTTTTTAATTAAAAAAAAAAGGCGTGGGCGTGGGGGTTGGGGGTCAGAGAAAGAGGCTCTAGGTCTGAGAATGGAGACTCCTGGAAGGTCGGCGAAGAGGAAAAGCAGAGCCCGGGCGACGGGGAGAAGCTGTGCATCCGAGCCAAGAAGAGCTGAAATTCCAACAGTCAAGGTACCAAGAGTTGGGCTGTTGGTTTTGAAAGGACAAACTGGGTTATCTGTTTGACCTTGAGGAGCCTGGTCCCCCACAGCCAGGTCCTCGCTGGGGGTGGTTCCTGGAGAAATGGGGAAGTGAGGGCCTTGAAATTCCTTCCTTGGAGAGTCACTGTCTTCTCTGAGCCCCAGGCTCCCAGGGGTAAAGCACCTGCCTGGGCCAGGTCAGATAACAACAGAGGTCTACCTTTCGACCTGAGACTTCCAGAGTTACATGGAAAAGAGGCACAATCATTGTCAGGGATTGGTAAATGTGAGCCCTTCTAGAAATGAACATTTCCACAGTTAACAGTACTTACCACAGTACTAACCCACTGTTTACTGGGCACCTAGCACTTACCAGGTACTTCATATACATGATCTTACTTAAGCTTCCTTCAAATCCTCAGGGTAAGAAGCATTTTAAAACCTTCTTGAAACTCAGAGAAGCAACTTGCCCAAGGTTACAGAGCTAACAAGTGACCTTATATGGGGGTTTAAATAATAAATGGTACTACTCATTCAAGGACAAAGTAATCCTGTTTTAAAACACCTTTTCAACCCTTCAAAAAAAAATATTCCCTTTAACAACTGAATGAGTCACTTGAAAGATGGTGAGTCAGCTTCAAGGCACGAGCCAACGTTTCTCCTCCACGCGGGATGACGACATCCTCATGCAAGTTCTTTATTTCTGCACAGTCCTGTCCCTCCTAGACGACCAGGGCTCTCACTCCACCAGGACATGGGCTTATAAGGTGTTCCAGGCCTGAGGGGGACAGTGAGAGAGGCTGGAAGCCAGCTGGCTTGGAGGTGGGAGCAGCACACTGAATCCCTTGGACTCATGGGAGGCAGCTGAGGGTGAGGTGAGTGCAGGGGTCCAGGGTCCAGCAGGCCTGGGTGTGAATCACGACCATGCCCCTGACTACTGGTCTGCCCGAGCCTCAGTTTCCACACCTGTGCAGGCGGTGATCATGCCTCCCTCGGAGAGTCATTACAGGCATTAAGTGGGTGATAAATGTTAGCTATTACTACTATTATACTTTCACAACATGCGCCAACATGATAGTGTCTGGATCGTCCCCTTGCCTTGACTGATTCCAACTTCAAAAAGCTTCCAGTAACACAGGCCAATTCCCGCTCATCCTTCAGGCTTCGGCCTGTCTCTCCCTCGGAGAAGCATCTCTGACCACCCCGAAAAAGGACGGTCACCCGTACAACCAAGTGAGATCACGTGCCATTTCTCCTTCGGAGCACTGGTCCCAGTTACAACGACAGAACACACGCTTTTGTTTGCTGTCCTCTCCCCTCGAAGACTGTAAGCTCCAGCAGGCCAGGGACCCTGCCAGTGTCATCACTATACCCCTAATCCTATCATGCTGCCTGGCACACAGGAGGTTCTGAATAAATACTTCCTGAATAAACGCAACAAGACGGAATTTATAGCACTCTTCACCTAGAGAATCGCTGTTCTGGCTAAAATATTTTTAAAACAACTGTGGAAAACTTACTGGCTTTCAGACGCTGATAGGTTCATAATCTACAGGCTCCCCTGCCCCTTATCCCAGTCACTTTGAGAAATCAGAGAAGTTTTTCTTCCAGACATCCTTTCAACCGATACGGTGGTACTTTAATGATTCCATAAAGGAAATCTACTTGGGAATGTCACAAGCTTCATGTGTAGAACCTCTCTCTCTCTTATTTTGGATGTTCTCACTTGTTTTGGACATCTCATCATAATCATTTTGGTAGAAGGAAACCTTAACAATGTCACCTGAAAAATACAATTTTTAATAATAGCATTTCTGGAAGCCTGGACAGGAAGAGAAGGGTGGGTGAGCCAGAACCACACCCACTCTGCTGATGCAGTGTGACCCAGGTCACGTCTCATTCGCCCTGCTGACCTCAAAGAGCTCCTGGGAAGACTGTGTGGGATGATGTGTGACTGTGCTCCGAAATCTGAAAGCGGCAGAAGTTCTCACATAAGAGGCACCCAGGGCTATACCCTTAAATCTCACTGGCCAAAGCAAATAATGTGGGACCTAATCAACCCTGAGGAGGAAGAGAACCTGGGAGCTACCAGAGGAAATTGTGACGTCATCTAGACAAGTCTCCCTCTAAATGAACTCAACAGAGTCCCCAGCAGACACACCAGCCCTACCTAAATGGTGCTGGAGGTGGGGAGCCACCAAGACTTCCCAGCCAACACAGTTCATTTGGAGCAATCTGTAACGTTACGCAAGGCCGTCTTAGCCTTCCCTCTCTAAGTTTTACCTTTTGGGGTTCCTTAGTCTACTCTCCAGAGCTTCTGAGGAATGTCAGTCCCAGGAGGCAGCTCTCAGGAATCTGAGAGCATGGCTGAATGGGGAAGAAATTTTTTTTTTTGACTTAGGGTAACTACCTCAGCTATAATTTTGTTTTGTTTTATTTTTAAAGATTTTATTTATTTATTATTTCCCCCCAAAGCCCCAGTAGATAGTTGTATGTCATAGCTGCACATCCTTCTAGTTGCTGTATGTGGGACGCGGCCTCAGCATGGCCGGAGAAGTGGTGCGTCGGTGCACGCCCGGGATCCGAACCCGGGCCGCCAGCAGCGGAGCGAGCGCACTTAACTGCTAAGCCATGGGGCCGGCCCCCTCAGCTATAATTTTGGATTGAAGGGTCTAGAAAGGAGGAGGACAGAGTTTTTTCAAGCCAAGAGATCTGTTTGCAAAGCATACACCCAGCACCACATAATTAATAACAAACAGCAGCAAGGGAAGGGTGTTTGCTATGCACCAGGCATTGTTCCAAGAACTTTATATGTATTAACTAATTTAATCCTTCTTATAACCCTATGATGTGTGGTGCCATCACTATACCTATTTTATAGATGAGTTAACCAAGGTACAGAGCACTTGAGTAAATTGCTCAAGTTCACAGACTAGCAAGAGGTGAAGCTGGGATTGAAACCTGGCTGGGCCCCAGGCTAGCCCTCTTTCCACTGCATTATATGGCCTCACAGAACAGCAGGGTCTCCACCTTCCCACTGCTCACAGCCCCTGTCCCACAGGCCCTCACTTGTTTCATGCCCTACATTCCGCTTTATTCCTCATCCACTAGGGCTTATCTTCTCAACTAGGGTTTGTCCCTTGGACTCCAATTCCAGACCCTCTACGGCCTTTGCTTCCTACCTTAACTATGATTCACTATTTCCTATTATGCCATCTCTGACTTCCCTGGGTAGTAAATTCACAGACCACATCCGGGATTTCAAATACAGACAGTTTCATTTCTTACTCATCTCAATCCTGCTTTTTTTTTTTTTTTTTACCAAGAATCCCAGAGTTCTTAGAACATGAAAAAGTAGCAGCTGAAATGCTGGGAGTCAATGTAAAAACAATTTACTTTGCATTTTGTCTAGCTGGCAAGCATACACAGCCAGAGCTGTAATGTAAGGACTCACTGAAGATTTAATACAATGCTCAGTAAAGGCTGATGGGTCTGGCAGCTTTTCCAACTATTGGGAGGAGTACTCCAAAGGCTTGTATTGCTATAAGAGCCATTTGTACCAGACAGAGCAGCACACCAAACCAGAGAGGCTGGAAGACATTCACTCTGTGTTCAGCCCAGGAACAAGTCCTTATGTGGTAAACATCCAGCAGGGAGGCTGCTCTAAGGCCCTGGCTAGGACCGTCTGGACCTGTGCCCGTACCTTCACTCCGTCCAGCACAGCCTTGATGACCCCCTTCACAGTCGTCACCATCTCTTTATCTTCTGAGTTCACACCTTCCAGCATCACCTGGTCAGACCAACGAATGAGGTTGGCGAGACTCTGGTACACTCGGCTATAGCAGGAGGAGAGGGCTGAGCTGGAGGGAAGAGAAGATTTTTAAAAAGAATGTTAAAAATCTAAAGCCTGACCATCACTTTAATATACTCGTTTAGCACAGAACCAGTTTCTTGCTGACGAGGGCATGTTTCTTGATCGTTCATTCTGTAAGGTCTACACCTCCTTTTGATAAACCAACTCTTCCTTCCTGAACCTATCTCCTTACATCCAATGAAGATTTTGTGGAGCTTAAGATTCTAATCAGTTGTAAAATTTTTTTTCATTTCCCAAATACAACATAAAAATTCCATCACAATAGTTACTATGCTTTTTCAAACTTCACATCCTCCACAAGATTCCGATAATGCCTCTCAGGGAGTGCTCCATATTCCCCCACCTCCTAGTTGCTCATCATTGGACTAGGTCAAAGCACTGTGCACTTCTTGTTTTGAATTAGACTAAAATTCACATTAGATGTGTCACAAGGAGCCAACAGGTTTGTGGGATTTTAGCAGGCAGGATCCTTTAAAGGAACAGCCTTTAAACATGAGCTCAAACAGATCTGTAATTTACTAGAATTCCTTGTAACATGGGCTCAGCTTCGTCATCCCCTGCACTGTAGCCTCGGCTGAGACGTCAGAGGAACACACAAAAGAAGAGTTCTCCAAGAACGACAAATCAGCGGCAAGGAGAACTGTGGCGGCTGGGAGGAGGTACCAGCTACACTGTGATGCCAGTACACATAACAGAAGCCCCGGGTACTTCTGGAAGCCTCAACGATCTAGGGTGGAGGCCAGAATGAAGGCTTTCTGTATCTCCCACATATTTTTAAATAACTCAAGATAATTTTCCCTAGGAATTACAGAAAGGATTATTTGACTATTTTAAACATTACGTATTACAACAGAGGAAGAGCAAAAATATAGAAAATTTTGTGGGTTGCCCCTGCTTTCACTCAAGGAAAAAAAGAATGAGGCAGACACTTAGGAGCCAAAGATATAATTTTGAGAAAAATATATAATATTGTAAGATATGATTAAAACAGGTTCTAAAAGCAAAGCTATTTAAAACAAAAACCTGAACCAAACAATGCTCTAATGAGCAGCTCTTCAGAATAAGGTGAAGGAGGGAGAAAAAATTCCAGGAGACCTAAAATTTCCATTTAGCCAGTCATTCCACTCTGAGCATGTTCCAACAGGAGAAAAGAAGAGTCAGAAAAAATGAAAGCAAACTCCTCAAGTCCCATTAGAAACAAGAAAAACCGACAAAAGGAGCCCGAGAAAGCCAGGGTTTGGCTGCTTAAGAGGCTAATACGAATGACAAGTACTTGGTGCTGGACCTACTCTCTTAGGAAAGAGATTGAGAAGGTCAAACAGAAACCACAGTCTTTCCTGGGGGCTGGAGCGTAGGTGACATCATCCTGAAGGGGGAGGGCACTCCTGGCAACTCTGCCTCCTTCTTCCTGGCAAGGCCAGGTGAGGCCTCTTTAAACAAAGACTGCTGCCTCCTTCCACCGATGTGCCCATGGGGGATTCCACCCAAGCTTCACGCTGTTAACCTACGGCAATAATTAGATGGGGACGAGGGGGGCACTTTATTATATAAAACTCAATTTCTAACTGCACTGAATGGCAAGTTTCCCTGAAAGCACCTAAAGAATTGGCCATTGTGTCCACCCTTCACCTTATTAGCTCAAAAGTAGAATACTCCTCCATGTCAAGGGGCTAAGACATTAAGAAAGGAAGGGGGCTCCTGTACTATGAAAATGCCATCCAGTGGACCAGTCGCTGGTCTGTTTCTGAAATGGAACAAAGCCATCTATATGGAGGGCGAGCACAGATCCTGCTTGCAAACGTCTCCGGGTGTTCCACCGCGCAGGAGAGGCCTCTGCTCACCGCTCACATTGAACAGCAGCTGCTTGTTCAAGGGCCAGTCCACCCCATCCTAGGAACCCGGGGAGGGGTGGCGAAGAACATGCCTGCTGGACCCAACCCACAAAAGAGGCTCTGAGCAGAAGGCAGAAAAACACCTTCTCAGCTTGCAAACTTCACTGGGAGGTACAAGATGATGGAAGCAATCTAAAAGAAACACGTGAGGGCCGGCCCGTGGCTCAGTGGTTCAGCGTGCGTGCTCCGCTACTAGTGGCCCGGGTTCGCATCCCGGGTGCGCACCGACGCACCGCTTGTCCGGCCATGCTGGGGCCGCGTCCCACATACAGCAACTAGAAGGATGTGCAACTATAACATACAACTCTCTACTGGGACTTTGGGGGACAAAAAAGGAGGAGGATTGGCAATAGATGTTAGCTCAGAGCCGGTCTTCCTCAGCAAAAAGAGGAGGACTGGCATGGATGTTAGCTCAGGGCTGATCTTCCTCACAAAAAAAAAATAAAATAAAATAAAAAATAAAAGAAACACGTGAGAACGATTTTGATCATCTCAGGGACATCAATACAAATATTATCAATTGGCTTTGGAAGAATTTCAGGAGGAAAAATCCCTTAAATGGTATTAGCCAAAGAACTATCAGAAAGAAAAATATCACTGTTCCTTAAGGCCACACCCAAGCATTTCTCTTTTTCCCTCTAGGAAATTATTATAGACATTAAATAATTTTTGTCAACTATAAAATGATTATAACACCTCCCCCATGGACAAAAAATACCCCCAACCATTATCACATTACTTGATCAATTCTTCCAGCGCGCACATGTCTAGAAAGTCACTTCCTAAGCAGAGCTGCTGGCTAACACTCCAGGAAGCGACGATTCTAGCAGCAACACACTGCCAGCACTCTGTTACAGGATTTAGCTAAGGTGACTCCGTCCTGGACTCTCCCAAAGAGGCTCAGCCCTGAGGGTGGCGGGGTGAAGTGGCCCGCTCATTTCCCACGGCCCCTCTGTCAATGCCGCAGAGCGGTCACACTGCCCACACGACCGCCGCTGCTCCTCTCTTCCAGGAACACACCATGCCCCGCTGGCCTCGGCGCCTCTGCCCTTCTCGAAACCCTGCCCCCACTGCCAAGCCAGTCCCCACTCTTCCCTCAGGCCCGGCTGCAGCATCTCCTCCTCTAGGAAGTTTCATGGGACCACTGCAAGCCTCGTGTAGCTCTCCCTCCTTCAAATCCCAACAGAGCTTCTCTTGTACCACAAAATCAGCACTTTATTAGAGGCCGGGGAGTTGATGTTTCAACTTGATTTTAACTCTTCCAGGTAGGGCCCAACATGTGAGAAGAGGTAAATGAGAGCATTTCATAAAAAGCCATCTACACACCTGCCCCTGGCACAAAGTCAGGCACATCCCCTCAAAGGAGAACAGCACTGGGCCCTTCTACGAGCTGGGCACTGCGCTAACTGTGGGAAAGACACAGGACTTGGTCTCGAGGCTCTCGAGACCAGCACACAAAGCACTACATACGTGGCTACTGAACAGGGCCCCGAAGTGACTCACATCCTCAGAGGCTTTCCCTACCTGACAGGAGCATGGCACAGAAAAGTAGAGACAGTAACAGGGCAAAGCCACACCAATGCTTTATCCTTCCAGCAACCAGCTTTTGTGAGCTTCCAGCCAAAAGACCACAATCTACAGGGGTCAGCTGAAACTCCAGGGTGGAAGTCGCAGGGCAGAGAGCTTTTTGGAAATAAAGACACTGTTTGCTTTATCCACCAGAAGAAAACTACGCACTTCATCGCCAAGTTCTGAAAGCAGTTCATAAAAGCTTAGCCTCCTGGGGCTACATGAGCACTAAACCATCTTGAGGAACTGCCACAGAGCTGCGTTTATCCTGAACAGGTACCACGGAGAAAAACAAAGCCAGCAGGCATCCGACAGCCTCTCAAGAAAAAAGCTCCTGCTAGGCTTTCACTTAAGATTACATTTAATACTGCTTTTCTCTCTGTACTTAACAAGAAATACGGGGACACGCTGTTCACTAACCTTTAAGGGGAAAATGCACTCTAGCAATAAAAGCATTCCCCAACAAAAGCTTCCTGGGATGAGGCTGACTCCATCTCCCATACCTGGCTTCCAATGAATCCAGGTACTGTTTGGGAGGTCCTGGCTCAACACAGGTCAATGTTTCACCGATCCATGCTCTAACGGGGTTCTTCTCTATCTCTTTTGGCCTAATCATCTAAGCAGTTGAGGTCCTTAATAGGCAGGATTTAACGTCACAATAAACTCTGGTTAACATAGGGTACTAGAAGAAAATCAATGGGATTATTGCCAATGAGCTAGTGGAAAGAAATAACCACAGACTTACACGGTGATTGTATTTCTAGCGATGGTAGAGATCTCCCTCAGTGTTGAGGCCTCATGAGCTAACAATGACCTCTACCCTGGGAGAGCATCAAGTGATAGCCATGGGGGGCAGGGAGAAGGCTCCTTTCCCTCCCGAAACTCTTCACTGTTCCTAGAAACCTTGAGTAACCCCAAACCAAGACGCCTCCAGACCTCCATTGCTTTGACACAGAGCAGCTCACCTGTGTTGAATTCGAGGATCACTCTGCACCAGGGGTAAGATGGCCTCCAGCACCTTGCTGGCTGACCCTGGAAGCATCTCCAGTACCTTCTTATCAATAGCCATTTTGTCCACAATGGTCTTAAAGTAGCGCAAGGCACTGACAACTTCCTTCTCTTTCTCTTCCAGCCAGCTCAGGTTCTGAAAGGAAATGTTAAGCATAAGGAGGGAGGAGAGAAATTAAAGGGAGCTATTTAAAAATAAATAAATAAAATTTCCTGTAAACTAGCTTGAGATTGACACGAATGGGAAAAGCTTCTTGCTGCAGAAACCAAGCCAAATTATTCTTCTAAGGATTGCAATCAGGATACAGAGGCTAGACTTGAAGGAAGAAGAAGGGGGCTTGGACCAAGAAAGGCTCGTTAGATATTCCTGAACTCCCTTCCTGGAACAGAGGCTGATTTGCCCTGAGCCTTGAAAATCTGCTTCTCCTCCTCTACCACACTGAGATATCACCACTAATCTCATTAAGTGCAGTGGGGACTAATTTGCTCGTGGCTGTAGGACACTTAGAGAACCAACAGTTAAGTCCCATGGTGCATATCTATCCAGTAAATCAAATCAAGAAACCCCAGGCCTGTCAAAGATCCGAGGGACTGTGTAAGACTGGACAGAGGCAAGAGCGTTCAAAACCCATTCTCCCAGGACTCCTCTCTAGATTCCCACATTCAACCCAAAGATGCGGCCCTCTCTCGATGAAATGATACAGCTATCCCAAAGGACCTGGAAACCCCAGGGTTAGAAGGGGTGGATGCTCTGGGGTGAAAAGGTGAAGAAGCCAGAGTAGATGGCAAGGACCCAATCACAACTCATGCAGCAACTGCTAACAGTATTCAGGGTCCCTGTGCTCCTGAGAAAAGCCCACTGAAGAGGAAAATAAAACACAGAGCCCCGCATTTCCCAGTATTCAAATTAGCACGCCCAGATCTTTTCTCCTGGACTGCAGGATACCCTGAATCCACGCTCAGTGGGTATACATACCCCTTTGGTTCCTTTCTCCAATCTCTCCCTATATTGGCCCTTATGTCAATGACCCAAGTCCCAGCTGGCTGGCAGGGGAAGGGGAATCAAGGATAATCTATAAAATGGACAAATCCAAAAGGGAATATCTACTCAAGTAGGATCGATTACATGTCCAGTGCAAATTAAGAGTGGTATGTATGAGGAAAACTGCCACCTGTGGGCTCTTTGAGGTCCAGAGAATATATAAATCAAAGCAACTGAGGGCAAGAAGATAATTTCTAGAAAAAGTAGGTTTAAACGTTACTCTATAAATATAAAAAATGATATATAATAAAATGATTATGAATCTTTTCTTATAAAATGATGGAGAATGTCATTTTAAGTAAAAAAAACTCAATAGTGGAGGCATTTATTATGGGAATATCAAAAGAAAAATACATAAATGGGATCAAGAAGTAAACAGCTCCATTAGACAGATAACTTTCAAAGACCTGATTAAATTTCTCTCAATGGGGTACTTCCCAAAAGGTGCTCTGTAGACCAAGGGGAAAAGCACCCCTTCCCCATTCCCATCACTGCAGCCTCTTTACCCTCGCTTTATTTTTCTCTTTTCACTTCCTGACATTTTTGTTGATGTACTGTCTGTTTCCAAGAGGCCAGGCATTGCTTCTCCGCCTCACGGACAAGAGCTCTCTGCTTTGCCATCACCCATCCAGGGCCGAGTGTGAAGGAATCGTGGTGCCTGCAGACATCAAATGCGACTAAAACCACAGAGGGCCAGTCTGGCTAGAGGACGGGGACCACAACACTGCCCTCTCACCACACCAGGACGTGTCAGGAGCCCGCGATGAGGAAACGTGGGGAGGAAGCAGGAAACATTTTAAGAAACTGTGTCATCAGGTTTGCTCAGGAGACGGGGGGCTAACCTGGGGATGGGAGGCATCTAAGACAGGAAGGCACTTGAGACCAACAAGAGCATTCTCCTGCTGTTTGCAGACAGACCAAATGAGCCACTGAAGAGCCAGGCTGCCCTGGGCTCCTAATAGAGGAGCCGACAACCTAGCAGAGTCAGGTTTCATCCATTAACTCTCCAGCAAATTCAACTCCCAGAATTAATGGCCTCTGAGTGTGATGCCCTCCCCCAGCCCTTCAGCTGTTAAATCTGGCTTCTTGCAAAATGCAGCCAGCAGTCAAGAGAGTTTACAATGAGACACTAGACTGAGTGCTCGCTAGAACTGGGAACTGGAGGCCTTGGCTTTGCTGAAGTTGCCCAGCTGCCCCACCTCAGAGAGGCAGCTGCCCCACCTGCACAGGCCCTCCTGCCTGGGGGATTAGGTGCCACCATCGGTCCAAACAAACCTGGAAACTCCATGAGGCTAGCAGTGCAGGGGGGAGGGCCTAGATCCAAAGCCACCACTGGGCTTGGGGACCAATGGGCTTCATGCTCCTCATCTGCAAAACGGAGAGAATCATATCTCGCCTGGGTAATCTACAGAGGATGATGTGGGGGTCTGAATGAGAATGTATATGGAAGTATTTCATAAAATTTAATGGAAAAACAGATTTTGATTAAGAAAACTTGGGCCAGAGCCCAAGCTCTCTGTATACTGGGAATAATAAAAGCTTCCTCACAGTTATAGTGAGGAGTAAATAAGACAGCAGGTGCAATCGCCCAGGACAGGGCCTAGGCAAAGAGAGACCCTCAGAAAGCTGCAGGTGAGTCTGAATCTGTACTTGCATCTATCTGACGACAGCAAACAGCAGACTGTTGTAAGATTTCTCTGCAGAGTCTCCGGGTTCATACACCTTGGCAGATTCCCCAACACTTCCAGTCCTGTCTGTGGGCCTCCACTAAATGACAGGTGAGTACTCACTTTATCTCCTGCAGGAGACTTGGGGCAGAGCAAAGAAATTCAATCCTTCTTAAAGGGTGACGACCAAAGACTGGGGTTACCTTCTTCCCCGGGTGAAGATCATCCCCACAGCTTCTTGCTACAGAACAGGGTTTCTCAGCTGCGGCACTGCTGATGTTCGGGGTGGATAATTCTTTGTTGGGGATGGGGGAGGGGTGCTGTCCTGTGTACTGTAGGATGTTTACCAGAATCCCTGGCCTCTACTCACCAGATCCACCACTTGCTTCACTTTCCTAGTTGTGACAACCAAAAATGTCTCCAGCCATTGCCAAAGGTCTCCTGGAGTTTACAGGAACCCTACGAAGTGAAGGGTACTCTAACGTCCAATTTTCCCCCACAACCCCTCTTGGAGTAATGAAGAAAGGGGGAAAATTCCAAGAACGGAGTGGTTGAAACAGTTTCTTAACAGAGTTCACTGGCAGAACACGTTTGTTAGTGAATCATTTTACTCTGGACTGCCTGGACTAGTGTTGGATGACAACTGGCACTCTTCTTGGAGTTGAACAGTAAACTCAGCTCCAAGAGGTTGCTAAACAGATTGTAAAAAAAAAAATCATTGTGGTACAGACCAAATCCTCTACTTTATTACTCTTCTTCAATCTGGAATTTAGATCAATCTGGCAAACACTGAATATTTCACTCTTGCTCTCAGCCTCCTTTTGTTAACAGATGGGGCAGGAAAAACAATTACTCAACAAAAGACTTCTGGATTTAAAACTTTTATTTTCTCCACTTTTAATTAGAATTGTAAGATATTCTGCTGGTCAATGTAAAAACAAAAATAGGTGCACTGCAAAATTCAAGAATTATGTGTATGTAACAGGGTTGTTTTTGCTAGTGGCGTTAAACTGATGGCTGTATCAACAGTTCTACCACAAACTATGCTCTGGACAATCACTAGAGGACTAAGGATCTATTTGTCTGCACGGCTTGTTTTTATTTTACATTGCTGAGTTTAATTTTGTTTTTATGTTTACTTATGTGTGTGGGTTAACATTTAGATTTGTGAGATATTCAAAAATAAACTCGGTTCTTCATAAAGAATACATGTAGCATCACAAGAGTTTCAACTTGGACGTCACATGGCCTTCGTTCAAATCTCAGCTTCACCACCCTTCTTCTGTGGGACTTTGGCCAGATGCTTAATATGTCTATAGCCTCAGTTTCCTTTTCTGCAAAATAAGTTTCCACCTCCCAGAGCTGTTATAAGGATTAAGTAAGAGACAAGTATCAAGCACTCAGTGTGGGGCTAAGAAAGGCGAGGAAAATGCGAGCACACACAAGGAGCCCATGGCTCTGAGCGCCCCTGTTCTGGCAGCCTCACCATACCTCATGAGTCTTGCTAGACACCTAACAGAGCACCTTCCACGTCAGACGCCCTTCCCTTTCTCAACGGTGCAGAGCATCTCAGCAACTCAAGGAAAGAACAGCTGGTCTTGAGATGAGACTCACCCACTTCCCCTGGAACCCGTTGGACCCAAGCAGCACACCCAAACCAACCCCAGAAGAGATCCCCGAGGTTTCGCCACGGAGTACTGAGCTCTCTCCAAAGAACACGGGGCCTGGATAAACTCTTACTTTTACCCAAGGTCCCTTGGACTGTTTCCTGAACAATTAAGCCCACAGTTGCCACCCAATTGAACACAATGATACTCAATAGATTTTTTTTCCATCCCCAAAACCATAGGCCAGGATTCTGCAGTAGAAGGCAAGGCAAACCCAATTGTTCTTAACATCACACTGACCTTCTGCCTTTGAGACCTGGAAGCCACAGCACTGGTGGACATAAATTCTACTGCCTGCTGCTCCAGATCCAAGGGGATAGGGTAGCCCTCTGGTAGAAATCTGTCTGTTGCCTCCTGGAAGAGAGGAAACCTGGATTCCTACAGAGCTTGAAATGGCCGTTTTAGGCTGAAGGGAGGGGATCGTCAAAATCAATAGCGTTTCAATACACCTGGCTTGACTGGCCCTGTTGAATTGACTAGTGTTTGAGGACATCTTTGGCTGGGTTTCAGGGATTTTGCATGTCTCAGAGCATGGGCCCTACAGCCAAATGATGGATGTTCTGGACATCACAATCTTCCCTACATGTGTGTGTGTGCCAGGGCAACGTGGGGCTCTGTGGGACAGGGAGGCAGCATCCTGGGGTGTGAACATGATGCGCTGAGCTGTTTTAAATGCCCAGATGATGACACATGTGGAAAAGGAACACTGTCCTAGCTAATCGAGCTCGATTCTGATTAACATGAGAAACACTCACCCATCCTAAAGGTTCATATTTCACAAGGACGCTGAAGGCCCCACTTGGAACCATGGAATGCTATGGATTAGGTATTCTATACTGAAAGCTCAATCCTCAGGGAATGAACTTAAAAATAGCACAAACTCATATTGCTCACAGCAGGCGAAGGCCAGGAGAAACGCCTAGAGTCAGCTTACTTTGTTCACAGGCTTCTCCGGAATTTTCACAGACACCTCAGCTGGTTTTCCCTTCTTTGATGGCGTTCTCTTGATTTTGGGCGAGTGGAATTTGTCCATCAGCTTCATGGTGAAGGAGGAGAGATGAGAACGCTGAGAGTCTGAAAACAGAGGGTACTAATTGTTAGAGGCAGAGTGGGAAGGAGCTGTGGTTCACTGACCTTTTGTGGAAATGAGTATCGTTCCAAAACAAATCTTTTCCCCTGGCTGTTCAGAGTTACAAAGGAAAGGAAATATGGATCCATTAAAAGATTTCTGCTTGCATGTTTCAATTTTTGCAATTTCTGTCTAGCTTAGGTTGTTCAGAATTATGGAAGTCAAAGGCAGTCAAAATGGGTACAGAAAAAGAACTTGCAAATATTTCCAAGTGTCCTTATAGAGTTTGTTATGATGATCTAACCAACGTCCAAGGGAACTGGCCAAGAAGAAAGAAGACCAAAGTAGAATCAAAGAAGTGTAGGATGTAAAAACCGGAAAGGAAGGCCCTTTCAAATCAGCATCCTCATTTTTTGGTTTAGGGAACTGCAACAAGTGACATGGGCAAGGCCTCAGAGTTGGCAGTGGAGATGGAAATAGAACTAAGGTGTTCAAAACCCTCTGGGACACAGTAAAAGATTGAATGGTTTCTCCCTGAGATGAAGAACAAGACTAAGGTATCTGTTCTCACCATTCCTATTCGATGTTGTACTCCAGTACTCCAGTAAAAGCCATCCAGATTGGACAGGAAGATGTAAAACTATCTCTGTTTGTAAATGACATGATCTTGTATACGGACAATCCCAAGCTATGCATTAAAAAACTATTAGTATGAATAAACAAATTCGGTAAGCTCACAGGATACAAGATCAATATACAAAAATCAATTGCATTTCTATACAGTAGCAACGAACATTCTAAAATGAAATTTTAAAAAGCTTCCATTTATAAAATCATCACAAAGAATAAAATACTTAAGCATAAATTTAACACAAGAAGTGCAATACATAATCACAGAAAACTACCAAACATTACTGAAAGAAATTAGAGACGATCTAAATAAATGGAAAGACATACCATGTTCATGGATCAAAGACTTAATATTGTTAAAATGGCAATACTCCCCAAATTGATCTACAGATTCAGTGTAATCCCTACGAGAACACCAGCTGGCTTTTTTGCAGAAATTGACAATCCAATCGTAAAATCAGCATGGAAATACAAAAGACACAGAATAGTCAAAACAATCTGGAAAAAGAGGAATAAAGTTAGAGGACTCATATTTCCTGACTTCAAAACTTATTACTACTGGGCTGGCCCCATGGCTTAGCGGTTAAGTGCTCGCGCTCCGCTGCTGGCGGCCCGGGTTCGGATCCCAGGCGCGCACCAAGGCACTGCTTCTCTGGCCATGCTGAGGCCGCGTCCCACATACAGCAACTAGAAGGATGTGCAACCATGACATACAACTCTCTACCGGGGCTTTGGGGGAAAAATAAATAAATAAATTAATTAATTAAAAAAAACCTCATTACTACAAAGTTATAGTAATCAAGACAGCATGGCACTGGCATAAGGACAGGCATACAGGTCAATGGAACAGAACCGAGAGTCCAGAAATAAACCCAAGTGTCTTTGGCCAACTGATTTTTGACACAAGTGTCAAGACCATTCAATGGGGGAATGAATATATTTTTCAACAAACGGTGCTGGAACAACTGGATAGCCACATGCAAAAGAATGAATTTGGGCCTTTACCTCAAACTATATACAAAAAGTAACTCAAAATGGGTCAAAGACCTAAATGTAAGAGTTAAAAATATAAAACTCTTAGAAGAAAACATAGAGATAAAATTTTTGTGACCTTGGATTTGGCAATGGTTTCTTAGAGACAACACCAAAAGCACAAGTGACAAAAGAAAAAATAGATAAAAAGGAATTCACTAAAATTAAAAACTTTTTAACTATACTTATTATGGTGATCATTTCACAATATATACAAATAGCGAATCATTATGTTGTATACCTGAAACTAATATAATGTTATATGTCAATTATACCTGAATAAAAAAATTTTTTTAACATTTACACTGCAAATGATACCATCAAGAAAGTGAAAAGATAAGCTACAGAATGGGAGAAAATATTTTCAAGTCATATACCTGACAGGGATTTGTACACAGATAACATAAAGAATTCTTAGAATTCAACAATAAAAGACAACCAAATTAAAAATGGGCAAAGGATTTGAACAGACATTTCTCCAAAGAAAATATACAAATGGGTAATAAGCGTATGAAAAGATGCTCAACATCATTAGTCATTAGGGAAATGCAAATCAAAACGATCAAAAGTTACCACTTCAAATTCACTAGGTATAATCAAAAAGACAGTTAATACTAAGTGTTAGTGAGGACTGGGGAGACTGGAACACTCATACAGTGCTGGTGGAAACGTAAAATGGTGCAGCTCCTTTGGAAAATACCTGGCAATTCCTCACAAGATCAAAGATAGTTACCCTATGACCCAGCAATTCTATTCCTAGGCATATACCCAAAAGAAAGGGAAGTATGTAACCACATGACTTGTACACAAAAGTTCACAGGTGCATTATTCATAATAACCATAAGGTGAAAACAACTCAAATGTCCAAATGTCCATGAATGAATAAATAAAATGTGGTATATCCACACAATGGAATACTACTAGGCAATAAAAAGAAAACTGCTACATGCTACAACATGGATGAATCTTGATAACATTATGCTAAGTGAAAGAAACCAGTCACAAAAGACCACATATTGTATAATTCCATTTATTTGAAATGTCCGAAATCTATAGAGACAGAAAGTAGATTAGCGGTTGCCTAAGACTGAGGGGAGGGGAGAAGGATGGCGATGGATTGCTAATGAGTATGAGGTTTCTTTTGGTGGGGGACAAAAATGTTCTAAAATTAGAATCTGGTGATGGTTGCACAACCTAGTCAATTACTGAAAAAAAAAATACTGAATTCTACACTTTAAATGAGTCTATGGTATATGTGAATCATATCTAATGAAGCTGTTTAAAAAAAACAAAAACCCACTGAGCAGCCTTCCTTCATCTCACCATTTATCACAGAGCTTTTCAGTGTCTGAAACTATCTTATTAAGTGACTTATTTACGTGTTTGTCTCCTCACAAGAACGCAAACTCGCTGAGGACCTTGTTCACGCCTGCATCCGCAGTGCTAACATGGTATCTGGCTCATAGAAGATGCTTAGTAAACACTCATTCAACAAATGAACAAATCAAACAACCAAGAAATACCCCATGAAAAGGGATGCTTCTTTTGGTAACATTAGAAATTCATAGAAAATACTTCAAAGTGGTTGAAAATTAGGGAACAGAACACGATCCTATGCAATGGAAAAATAAATATTTGTAGTTTTAAAAGTAAAAAGCACTCCCCCTTTCATTTTTTCCAGCAATTTAGTACTAAGAAACCCTTCCAAATAAGTGACATAGCACCTTGTACGACAGGCCTGTCACTATTGTTGCATGTGACCAGAAGGTCAAAGTTCAATTCCTTTGTCAAAGACCTTCCAGGCAGCAGGCAGGATCAGATAAACTATCTGCTCTTTAAAAATTATCTAGGAGCCCACTGCACTCTGGACCAAAGAGAAATGCCAGGGCCTGACCTTCGTTCACATGTGGAGTCAAACCAAACATGGCTTCACGGCTGTCTGCCTGCTGGCCAGAGCTGCAGGAAGCCCTTCTCAGACCCTGAACATGCAAGCAAATCCACAGGGAGCTAGTGCACCTCTCTCCTCACCTGGAGCAGCTCAGCATGGGGCAGGAGGGGCTCTCTGCACCAGCCCTTGTGTGCCACAGTCAGCTCTGGGACTCAAAGCGGGGGAACCGGGATGGTGTGATTTCTCCAGCTCCCCTCTGCCCGGCCTCTTCTCCTTCCCCACCCAAGTAGGGCGGGTCCCCTATAGAGTTTATACTTCCTTCCTGATACTTCACAATGACATGACCAGTCTAGTCATTCATGCGATGGTTACGAGGGTGAGCTTTGTAGTCAGACTGCTTGGGTAAAAATACTTCAGCGTCACCTCTCTAAGTCATAAGTTTTCTTGTCTGGAAAACAGGGCTGATAACATCGTTCGTCCTGAGATGGCTGATGTGACGTCGATTAAATGAGATGCTGCCTGTGGATGATGCAGTAAGGTACTTATCCAAGTGCCAGGCACATGGTACCTGCTCAATACAGGGAGCTAACCTAACTAACTATATGATCTGGATGGCTAGCAAGGTTATCAAACTCTGAATTCTTATTTCCCAGCTGCTTACAGATCTGAACCAGGCAACTGTGCCACAGTGAACATTTAACTCAGGACCCCGAGTAACTGAGGGCCTTACAAATGCCCACTCTCCTCTTCCTTGAGCACTGAGCAGAAGCCCTAGCCTGTTCATCTATTTCCCTCTTTGGTTCCTCGTGTCTCCTTCTGCGTTGCTCCCACTGCTGCCCCCATCCCACTCCTCAGCATCCCTCGAGTCACAGCACAGCCCTCACCAGCCAGGTTCCCAAGTCAGATGGGATGTTAGAGCCATGTACTAACTCAGGTGACTTCCGCCCTGGCAAGTAAGACTGAAAGTGGGGCAAGGAAAGAGACACGAATGGGGAAGTCAGGCAGGACACACGGTTCCTTTGCTTTGCTTTGGTGGTCAAAGATCTTCAGAGATGTGGTCCGGCGAGCCGACTTCTGCCTCTTCTCATCTGCTGCCCGAGTTGCCGCATGTGCAGGCATGGGGCTGAGGGGCTGGCCAGATCCACATTTCTGCTATCATGACCAGGGCGGGACTAGAGTAGGCAAGCAAGGTGTAGGGGGCCCCAAAAGACCTCTCAGGGTCCTGCCGGTGCAGGGCCAGCTCTGATCATGACCCAGAGGCCAGCTAAGGGCACCTCCACCTGAGAGCAGACAGAGCACAGGCCGTATATCACAGCACTCGCTCTCTGCCTCTGCTCTGCCAGCCACAGCCTGAAATTCTGGTCTGTCTTGGGGCACAGCTGGGAATCCACGTCAGCACTTACAGAGAAAGTGCTACAGCTACCAATAAATCTCTCTTCTTGGAGTATTTCATGG